ACATGTAACGCGTCACTGCCCATCTCTGCAATGGAATAAAGTTGGATGATCATTTTGGTGGAAATGACCGCGGCCTAAGTTATCAACAAGCCTAGTCTGGAACCATCCCCCTCTGTTTTAAACTCACCTGTCCATATAAATGATTTGAGGAAACTCCAGTTTCTTATGTATCTTCTCAGGGCGCCCAAGCTGGGTGTTGAATTCAAATCTCGAAAGTTCAAATGTCAAGACTGGTGGTAGCTTTTTGAACCATCTCTGAAAACATGAATAAATAAAGAGTTTCTTAGCAGATCATTAAATTTCACAAACTCTAGCCGAGCGTGCTGCACAAAGAGAGATTCAATTTTAAGTTTATCAAATTCTTCACCTCACGTCCAGATGTGACATGATGCTCTGAATGAACCGACTCAATCTCCTTCTCTACCATAGCACCTTCTAAGCATTCATCAAGATTGCTGAAGCCATTGACTTGCAGGGGGTACTGGCCAAACTGCTCAATATTATATACCATCTTACCTGAGAAAAAAATCACATAGATACCAGGGGATGACTGAAAATCATAGACAACACCAATAAAAAGACCAAACTCATACCCTCGTGTCTTCTTTCTGTCACAAAGGTACCATAGAAGAGCTGGACCATGGGGTTATGTTGTTTATCTTCTGCATTTCTAAAAGTAAAACATGGCATTATTTTAAATTAATTTAGCAAGCAGTAGTGCACTAAAGATGACAATGACAAAACACGCTGGGTGCCATCAGCTTAAAACGTACTTTCCACTGGCAGCCAGCTGAAATGCATCCTCGAGCCAGTCAAGCAGTTTGTGGGAAAACTCACTGACATCCTAAAAGGGACACATTTCAAAAAGGGCAATTTACTTGTCTGAGTCATTTATTTAATTGTCTTTCTGTTATGTGCTTTTTCTGTACTCTGTCTCTGATGTATAAAGACCTAATGAAGGGCTGTCTAAGAACTAAAGGGACTGCTGAACATTAGTATGTGCTGAATCTACATAAACATATAAACAACAAATGGGAAGGTTAAATATTATTACATTTACATGACAATCTTCACTGAAAGTTAGATAAAGAAAAAGTCTTTTAGCTCTTAATTAAAATCTTAATAAAAGATCAGCTTGTTTCAGTATCATCTCATGGTCTTCCCCAGTGAATGGAGCTTGTCTAAGTGTATGACCACCTGTTGCATGACCACTGGGAAGTCTTAAACCAAGACTAAATGATGACCAGGTGTGCATAGCACTACCTCTAGCATACTGAACACTTGAACTCAGTCAGCCACATTAGCTAAATCTTCAGCTGATTCCCTTCTGTGAATTTTACCGGGGAATAAAAGAGTCTCAAATTGGCATCCTATTTAAACAGTTTCAGCCTGCTTATAATCTCACCGTCCGCTTCATTAGGTACACCTTGCCAGTGCTGGAATGAACCTTAAAGTGCCCTCATAACTGCCTTAATTATTATGGCATAGATTCAACAAGGTGCTGGAAATGACATGAAGTTGCTGCACATTTGTAGACTGCACAACCGTGACGAGCATCTCCTGTTTAGTCACATCACAAAGGTGCTCTATTGGATTGATATCTGGTGAATGTGGAGCCCAAATGAGTACAGTGAACTCATTGTCATGTCACAAAACGAGTCTGAGATGATCTGAGCTTTGTGGCATGGTGCGTTATTCTGCTGGAAATAGCTATCAGATGATGGGTACACTGTGGTCTAAAGGGATCGGCATGGTTGGCAACATGTGATAGGCTGAGGCATTTAAACAATGCTCAGTTGGTACTATGGGCCCAAATGCGCCAAGAAAATATCCACCACACCATTACAACACCACCACTGACCTGAACCATTGAGTCGAGGCAGGGTGGATCTGTGCTATCATGTTGTTTACACCAAATTTTGACCCCATTATCCAAATGTTGCAGCAGAAATCAAGAGTCAGCTGACCAGGCAACATCTTCTATTGTCCAATTTTGGTGAGTGCATAAAAACTGTGGCCTCAGTTTCCTGTTCTTAGCTGACAGAGGTCACACCTGGTGTTAGCATATTGTGCATTCAGAGATGCTCTTCTGCATATATTGGTTGTAACTCGGTATGACGTTATTTGAGTTTTGCCTTCCTATCAGCTTGAAACAGTCCTCCTGAATTCACCCAGAGATCAGCCCCTTTCTTTAATGCCTGTTCTTTTCACTTAAGCAGTCTTGTTGCTGCTCTCCCTATAGACTTTGCAAATCTGCAGGTAGAAGGACTGGAAGGTCCCAGCCTAAAATTCATAATTATTACAGATGAAGTAACAAACCTCTTTTAACTAAAGTGGTCCTGACAGAACTGGGCTAAGAGCAGGTCAGGGCAAACGCGGACTGCATGTAAATTTAATGGATTCAGTGCAAAACCCAGATAATGATGCTTGCCGTCTGCTGATCCTATTACAATGGACACTTAAAAAAAAAGTTTGTGGGCAGACTTGCTCTGGAAAATTATGGCTGGTTTCTGTCATGGTGGTTTAGAAGAGTTAAAACATTATAAATCCTTCAAAGACACAAATAAAATATTCAGCTGGAAAATAGAAAAAATAAAGAAAATGAGTCTGAGAAGGGCAGCAGCAGAAAAATAGAGAGACTGCTGACCATTAACGCCTACATGTCCCTGTAGTTAATGAGAAACAATGAGGCAGTGGCTACAAATTTCAGAGAAACCAGAAGTCTGAAGTGCCCTGCAGAAAAGGTGCTGACAGATGTGCTTTGGTTAGTGTATCTGAGAGAGGAACACCTCAGCTTTATCAGCAAGTCAGAGAGTATTAAAAGCAGGTGCGGAGTTAGGTTGTTCCTTAAAAAGACAAATGCTGTACATATCTTGTACCTGTTGGGCCTCATTGGTCCTGAAGGCGTCACGCAATAACTCCACTGCAGCAGAAGGATCCACAAACCTGCGGGTAGAGCCCACCATGAGGGCAAACAGGCAGCGCAGCTCCTGCATGAAGGCTATGTTCCTCTTGTCCTGTTAACGTAAACTCATCAACTTCATCACCCTTATATCACAGCAGCAAAGTAAGAAGAGTTATGTGTTATCCTGTTCTGTATATACTCGTGACAGTAGCTTACTTACTGAATGGCTTTTACATTTCTCCAGTATTTTCTCAGACAGATGGTAGTTGAGAACCAGTCTCCTGAACACAGGCAGGTGGAAGAGTGACTGTAACAAGACAGCATAACAAGGCACATAAATCCAGCCATCCACTGAAGGTTGGATATGGGAGATTACCAGATGGCAGATCATCGCTACAGCAGAACATTTATTGTAACTTGGTTGAGGAGAAAATGTGGAGATATGTTTACAAATATGTTGCTTGATTAACAAAGAACACTGCTAATGTTCTGCCACTGACATTTAGCTTGCTGTTTGGAAAATTGCATGCGAGTGTTAAGTAGATTAAGTATTCACACATCAAACAACCATCACAATAACTGAAAGGTGAGGCTAATGACATCAGTTCTATTTTTTTAATGCAATGTTCTGCAGGGAAAAATAGTTGCTTGGGAATGGCTTGAGGAATACATGAGGCACAGGCAACGACCAAGCATCCAAACTTCCAAAGCATCAACTGCGAAAACCACAAAGAGCAACCAAAGTCCTGTATCCATGCCACAACGGGTCAGAGATATTTTGGTGGTTAAATAATTGGTGGAAGGTTTTGATGTTGTGGCTGATCTGCATATGAACACTGTGGTGTAGTTTCACCTGGATTCAAAAATATAGGCTAAAATAGGCCAACATCCTCTGTTTTTTTGTTGTTCTTTTTTCTTCACATACAGTGTTGCGAAAGAGTACCTGCTCCCTTCCTAATTTCTTATTTGTGGACATTTTTCACACTTGCATGTTTCAGATCATGAAAAAAACTAGACAAAGATAACCTGGGCAAACACAAAATAAAGTTTAACATGATGAGTATATTTATTAAGGGGAAAAAAGCTATCCAACCCTATGTGAAAAAGTAACTGCCCCCTACAGCTAATAACTGCTTGAGCCACCCTTGGCAACAAGAACTGTAATCAAGTGTTTGTGATAACTGGCAATGAGTCTTTCATATCACTGTGGAGGAATTTTGGCCCACTCTTCTCTCCAGAATTGCTTTAATTCAGCTACATTGGAGGGTTTTTGAGGATGAACAGCCTGTTTAACCCTTTAAAGCCTGAACCCTGAAATTATTGCCAAAAAATAATAATAAAAGACACATAAATTGGCTACATTCCGTATTTTAAGGGTGCAATTTATTACTTAAAAATGTATTGAGCTATTTATTTAGGTTTTTTCGGGGGGGAAAACGTTACATTGATGATGTAAAACAGGGGTGGGGGAAACTCCAGGCCACAAAGGCCGCTGTCCTGCAGGTTTTAGATATTACCCTGGGTCAACACACCTGAACCAAATCACTAGTTTATTACCATCTGAAACATGTAAGTGTGACAAATATGCAAAAGACTAAGAAGTTAGCAAGTCGGAAAATAAGGTTTTATAACGGTATATGTCAATAGCTTAATATTTTTACAGCCAGGAACAAACCCCATATCAATTTGTCATAAGATACCTATGTTTCTCAGGATAAACTAAATGCATTAATACTAATCTTATGTGTCATGTGCAGGGCTGATGGGAGCTTATAAGCACTTCTGAGTATCAAGATATGCATTTACATTTCAGAGGGAAATTCAATTACGGTTTATCTCAGTTTTACTGCAATTTAGTCCACAAAGGATAATTGAAGAAATATGAGCTGACAACTGAGTCACGTGGTCACTCAGCCTCAATCTGATAGCATAAAAATTTTCTAGGGGAGACGACGAGTCAAGCTCTGTTGAATCTACAACAGCTCAGTTGTAAAACAAGGAAGTGACTCTGGTACAATAAACAGAGAAAAAAAGGTATGATCTGAACGCCATTTGTATTCTAACAATACGGCCTTATTTCCCCCATTTCAATTTCCAGATAAAAGCCCGTCATATGCGGGTGGGACTTCTTAACAGATATGGAAGCATATCTGAGTTTAACAGAGAGAAACAATCACAGTCTCTTCTGTTTACTTTATACTCAGGCTGCCACTGCTCACTCCGTCCTCGCTCGCTATTTAATTATCAATATAGCCGGTGTATCTCAGTTAGGGTTCTGGTTTCTGCCGAGCTACCTGATAGGCCTGGAAAAGTTAAGTTAGCTGGAATGGACTTATAATAGAATTAAGAGCTCAGATTAATACTGTATGCTCAAGCTCACCGGGAAGATGTTTAACTTTATTAGCATGAGGGTTGATGAAAAGGTGAGATAGAAGGGAGATTCTTGTGTAGCTGAACAGGTTCTGCTTTCGCTTTAAAAAGATGTCTGTACTGTACATTTTAACCCAGTGTGGTCAAATTTTACCATGGAAAAACTAGGTGACAGATATTGCTGAAAGCAAAACAGATATGTGAAGAAATCTTTGAAAGGAAACTCCAAGTCTATAAATGTTTGTTGAACTAAGTGCAAGAGCTATTTAGGTCTTGGGAGCAACAGAGGCGAGACTGTTAGAACAGGTGGAGATCGGTGATGAGTTTCATGCAACAGAATACATGCTAGATGTCGCTATGTTTTCTGAATATGAATTTGAATACTTCTGTGGTCAAGTGTCATATGGGTCTAACATTGACATGTGTTATATATACACTACATTAAAAATACAACACTAATTTATGTTAGTGGGTATCAGGGTTATTACAGTCAACTAAAATTAAACTTAAAACTGTTTACTGCTCAAGCTATTACAGCTTGGCTGATGAGGCTTTGATGGCCTTGTTTTTGAGTCGATAGATGTCTACAAGATCGTGAGTCAGCTGCTTTCAAAAAAGTAGTGTTTTTATTGTAATACCTGAACTGATTTTCCTAAATCTTGCCTCTGACACATGCCCTTTATACAATGATAATTAAAAAGACTGAAACTCAAAATGCTTTCACCCAAAAATGAACCAAGAAAATCAATTTAGGAAACTAAATGAAACAACTTAAAACAAAAAGTAAAAAAGAAAAAAGAAAAAAAAATTAAAACACTTGTGACTGCTAATGCTAACCCTCAACCTCCTAATTCCTCCTCGAATTGGTGGTAAATATCTGTTATAAGTCAACAGATTCTCTATTATGTTTTGCATATTTGTTCTTCCATATGTTTTTTACTTGTCTTAAATACTTAAATTTTAAGATGGTTATTTTATAAGGAATTTTAAGTAAGTCTGTTACAGACAAGTCAATTAAAGTATTACATCCATTTGCTTAAATTCACATGGATCTCATTCTATATCAACATATTCAGGATGTTTATGGCATTACAATGTCATGTGTTCCTATTTGATCATATTTATGATTGAGGGTTTTTTTTCATTCTAAATAAATTACACTATTTTACAAGCAATTTTAGATTTTAGCAACATTTTGATTGTTTAGTATCTCTCTGTGAAGCATGATAGGGGTTATATTTATGGACATTTGTTGTTATTAATCTGACCTCTGTAACCAAAATGCTCCTTTTTCATCTTATTGTTTGTTAGGTGAAAAAAGCTCCTTGTCCTCACCTGGATGACAGCACTGAACCAACAGGTGTTTCCTACATTACGAATGCCCACAGGCCAATCTTCCTGACGGATCCACTCTGCAGGGCTACACATTTCACTCTGGGCTTCACATCTCTTCCTCTTTATTCTCGCAGCATTCTCCTCTGCACTGGCTTCCAGAGCCCTGCACAACATCAGTTTACCACTTTAAAATGGTTATCTGACAACACTATTGAACACAGGTTAACTCATTCCCAGTGTTATGGGTTAGGGTTAGTATAATGTAATCTTTATAAGTAAAATCACCCCAAAAAGATTTGTAGAAAAACATTAAATGTACATCAAGAGGAGCAAATGAGTCTAACAGGTAATCAGTATTGTGGGAATTATGAGCATCAACATGCTTATACATTAAATCCAGCATTTGAAATGAAGAACAGCTCATGGTGAATGAACTATGCTGAAGTAACTGCCCTATTCATCTGCTCACATCTCAGTGGCAAAAGAGCTGCAATGCAAAACGCGGGCCTGTTACTGGAAGCAACTCCAGGTTCAGTGTTAAAACTGCAGCTCCCAAGCTGCACACAGTTTACCCAAGTGTCCTTGGGTAAACTGTGTGGGGTACTGCTGGACCAAAACCGCCATAACTACCCATTTTCAGTGTAAACTGAAACACTGCATGGGATGAAACGTTAAGAAATCTGAGGTTCCCCAAAGACATGGAGCTAAATCATCTTAGGGCCATCTATGATTGGATAAATGAAATCTCCTCTTCATCAAAAGTCAATGAATCACCATTACGATAATTAGTTAAGGTCTTTGATAGATGGTTATCATCTGAAAGAAATTTCATTTCAATCCATCCAGCATGGCTAGAGAGAAAGTGTAGTCAGACACTTAAAGTTCTTTGCTATTTTATCTACGTTTGATCTCAGATTAACTGCTAGACCACACTGTTTTGTGTGTTTTTGCTCCGTGTGAACTGTCAGCTGTCAGCAGTGACCTTTGCTGAGAGTGTAACACTCACACAGCCAAGATAATAGTTGTGGCATCCATGGCCATTTAGTAGCCTGAGAGGAAAAACACTCATGCCGCTAACATTTTAATTTTCATAGTTCTCTCTATTGAAATTAAAAAGTGAATTAAACCAAAAACAAGTGTTGTATCAAATGAAAAGTCGTCCTTTACCTATGAAATTCTCGCTCCTCTTCCTGGGCTTTGTGGGACTCCTGCAGGCTGAGTTCTATGGCGGTCTGCAGTTCATCTTTAGGAAGCCCTGAACAAAAAACCACAAGAGCGTTACAACAGAGAGCCTATAATTCAACTTAAAATGGGTTAATGTAAAAATCACACTGAGCACTCATAATAAAATTCTGTTTCTTCTATGTGACTCTGCCTTCACTCAAACATTGTTTTCTAACTAAAGTAAATGGATGACCCATAACATTGCTCAGATATTCTCCTGTTAGCTTACTTACCATTAAAATCCCCAAACAGACGGCTATGAATGGCAATACTTTAAATGTATATTAAAATATGTGTAAGTTCACCTCGAAAAAAAAAAGCTTGACACATTCTTTGTACATTTTACTTGTGTTTGAAGAGCAGTGTGTTCCTTATCTGTTTCATACCTAATTTCCCTAACACCACACATAAGTCAATCAATTTTGGCAAATCTGTAGTAACCACTTTTGGCTGCCCCCTTGCCACAAGGGGTCACCACATGTTTGATTTGGCAGAGTTTTACTCTGGATGCCCTTCTTGACGCCACCCCAAAGGAGATTTGTGTCTCCGGCTGGACTCAAACCAACAGCCTTTTGCTGGCCAACTGAATGCATTTACTGCTGTCTTCTCTTCTCTTTTAATGTCTCATAGTAAAGCTTTCTTTATATTCATCCATTAAGCTCAGTTTGCATTTGTGCTGGAAGTGTCACTTCTGCTATCAGCTTTGTGTCAATTTGCATCCCCAGAGTACCTTTCTGGCCCTCCCAGGCCTCTCCAGATGTCCCTGACTCCTGTGGTTCTCCAGGGTCCTGAACCTCTGCAGTCTGGGTTGTCAGCAGTCCAACAGCATGTCCAATGTCCCCCTGACTGACCTTGAGGAGAGAGAAGAAGGAATATATAAATATTGAGGATTTTATCTGTGACTGCAACATCTAATAATACATCACAAGGATAAATCAACACATTTTAAAGACACACAAATCAAAATATAAACACATGGCCATATCCAGTCGATTGTGCTTTAAACAACAATTTTAGACTTGTATGACTCAACGAATACATAACCCTACTGCTGTCTGCAACTGGTTACACGATGCCTGTGAAAGTTAACCAGTGTGTTTAATGTACTGTTTGTTTAACTGTTACTTTTATGATGTTCCAATTCATTCAAATCTTTTAACGGGGTTTTCATATGCAGCTGTATTTAAACATGGTAAGCTTGAGGTAGAGTGCTGGAGTGAAAAAATGGGACCCTATGGGGTCTTTAACATAATTTACACTTCAAAGACTCTTTAGCTGCCTAATAGTGCGGGAATGGATTGCTACAGTTTAACAGTTTTAGATTCATGTTCTTCATGGTATTAAATCTTGCTATAAAACATCTCCTACCTTTTAAACTGTCTAATATATTTCTCCAGCTAAAAGCAGAATTCTCACCATTACTTAGATTAACATTTGGATTTCTTTACAAATAACTATTAGAACCTGTAGCATGGCTTCAGGATGTTTGCTAGTTTATCTGTTTGTTAGCAGCATTACTCATAAAGTTATGGATGGAGATGCATTTACCAGACGTAGCATAACTTAGAAATGTTTCACATTTTAGGGAATCTGGATATTAATCTAGGAATGTTTGTAAGGATACTTTACCATTATGAGATGTGGGCAAATAGTCAATTAAAAAACACACACACTATACAGTCTCAGATTAGTCTTTACTCTATGTATTTCATTTCTTTCTCAAAAATCATTTTAAATATAAACAATTTCCTGAATGTCTGCCTACAAGCTTTTTAATCACATTAAAACTACAAATCTCTCAGCCACGGGAATCCCGTGAATGTTGTTCTAATGTCTGAAAGTCATAGTGTCAAACAACTGTAGTACCCAAAACATGTGATGCTGCAGATTCTAAAAGCTAATGCTAAGTTGTTGGGCCTTACATTCAGGGCTCTGTAGAGGATCTGTTGGTCCTGGATGCCAGTGATCTCCCTCAGCTGGCTGATCAGCATTTCACTCTGCTGAGAGAACGAAAACACCAGGCATTACACACAACTTCCTGTATCGGATCCATGCATTAGAGGCAGTGATGGGCTGGCATTTCATTTCGATTTGGGTAGACAAAATGGACATAACTGTAGCACAAGTAGGCGATCCACTGGAAGTATTATTGGCTTTGAAGTTACAACTGTTACGAAATAAATATCACTACAGTAACAATGGCAACAATAAGTCCTCCATTTAGATTGGCTCAATAATCCTTGCTTTCACTATCCAAGTCTGTCCTCCATCAAGAATGAAATATGTTGTAAAGAATACGCCACCAACAAAATAAATGAATAGTGCTTTTGTTCTCACCAAAAGCTATTGGTAGTTTTTCTCTGATAGCTGAAATGGCACTCAAAGAAAGAAAAATGTGAAAAATTGACTTTCAAAAGAGAAAAAAAGAGCCCTGTTGTCAGAAGAGGCAAAAAAGATGATTTATCCAAAGGAATTCAAAAGTAAAACACCAGTCAACTTCCTTATGAGCATTCCCTCAGCAGAGAAAACACCAGGATTTCAGAGGGGATCTCACGATCATTCAGCTGGCATTACTCCTGCCAGAAAGTGACGTCTGATCTATATATCACCAGTACTGAGGGTACACAAGACCAGTCTAAGAAAGTCACTTGTGGTAACCAAAAGATGTCAAGGTTAGTGTGTCATCCCACTTACAGTCCTCCTTACCTAATGTACATGGAGTGGAACAAACTGAGGACCACATAAGTGCATGGCTCATGTGTGGCTCATGTCTATTCTGTGACTTACACAGGCAGTTTGCTGAGTAGGAACAGTTAAACAAAAATGAAATTATATTTCCAATGAGTAGAACTGAAACATAGTTGGAAGAAGCTTTGGAATAGCTAGAGATATTGAGAGGCAGTAATTTATGGGTGAGTTCCACAACAACAAAATGGATCAACTGATCAGAATGTCAGATCAGACACTGACAAAAAGCCAGGAGATGTAGATGAAGATGTTAAAGATGGACAGCTTTAGAAATAAGTACATTAGAGGGAGAGTTCAGGTTGAGCAGTTTGGAGACAAAGTGAGAAAGCCAAGGCTGGGATGGCTTGGACAAGTGCAGAGGAAGAATAGTGCACATACTGGGCAAAGGATGTTGAAGATGGAGCTGCCAGGCAGGTGGAAAAGAGGAAGACCACAGAGAAGATTAATGGATGTATTGAAAGAGGACATGCAGACTGGCTGGTGTGACAGAACAGGATGCAAGGGAGATAATGAGATGGAGGGAAATGATCCGCTGAGATTCCTAAAGGGAGCAACTGAATAAACCTTAGCGATTTGCTGGGATGTCAGTCTGTGTATCTACCTTCTCTGTTTAGTTTCAAGTAGACCAGTGAATCAGGGACACTGGCCAATCGGGGGCACTTTCAGGTACCCTTCCTCCAATTAGATCCCCCTCTCTTAGCCAGCGGGCTTTGCATGGTCAGTCTCCCACCACCACATTATTTGTTCCACACATGGACAGGCAAACACAAGTGTTCCCAGGCAGTCATATACTTTGACCTCACAGACACATGAAGTTTTAAAAAAGAAATAACACACGTTTACTGAGTTAGAGGCTCTATATAAAGCCTGCAACCCTGACACCAGGTGCACATGTCATGGTATCTTTCTCTTACACACAAAGGAAGCCAGGAGCAGGCTGACCAGACTTATATGGAGTCCAGTGGCTATCTGAGACCCTCTTGGTTAGCCTCTATTTTCAGCTACTGACATGGATAGCACAAGCTTCTGTTTATCATTCCACTCACCATGCCACCAGGCATGGTGAGAGGGCAGTAGTGGGTCTGTCTCTTTCTGTCTTCAAACACACCTCCTGTGTCAATACCAAACCAAAAAAGTGTAATAAACGTTTAGATTGCATTGCATTTTCATTAACACCACATCATATATAATTAGAGGAAAGCCCTCCCTGAAGTATAAAATCACTAATCACTCCACACTGTCTTAGAATAATTACAAAAGCCTATTGAAAGAGCAATCGGTTGGATTAATAGTTACTGAGCCAAATAACGGTTTAAATGTAAATGTTACGTAGTTTACGTTTAACTAGTGGGAATTATTAATAAAATATGTATTCATATACAAAAAACTCTGCATAATTAAAGTGTTATTATTTTATCTTTGCAAGCTCCTTTGACTACGATGACCTGGATGACTGAGAACCTTCACAGACATTATTTTATCTGTTGGTCACTAAACGAGCAAAAAAATAAAAATAAAAATAAAAATAGAAGTTCAATCAAACAAGGCTCAGTTAAGTAGTCACATCGGGTTAAAAAGCCATGTCAGAAGTTTGATTTAAAAATAAAAAGTGTATTTTATTCCTACCGATTTAAAAAACGTTATTTTTTAAAATTTGAAAACTTTTAAAATGTATTTTTTATTTTGAGTTACATTAAAGAATATCAGAGGAAACTTTAAAATCGCAGATTTTTGAACACACACTGGCCTCCGGGGGTTGTGCCCACACAACAGAGGGGTTAGTGTTAAGGTTAGCTCTTCAGGCGTCACAAACATGCCACTTATTGTGTTAATAGCAGCTCCATCATCCTGAGCTCTCACCGAGTTGGTTGAGTTTTCTCCATTTTCAGACTGATCGGCTCTCATTGCAGACGAAAACATGAATTCCTTCTGATTTTTCCCCCCAAATGCTTCCAGCACTGCCTCCGACTCAAACCAGCTCCATCTGTCAGGCACGAGAGCGACAGGCCAGCTGTGCGCGCTCACCTATCCAGACACGCGCGTGCCTTGGAGCGATCGCTAACCACAGTCAATGGTCGCTAACTTAAAACCCGCGCGCACCCGTTACGTGATTGTCGGGACGTTTCCTCAGGTAATGAAATACTTCCAGTGTCTATGGCAGATTTATTATCCAACGTTAATGGCTTTACAGCAATTATGTAGCTAGTTTACAACACGGTGACTTCCGCCTCTCTTACAGAAAAAACAAAAAAACAAAACAAAACAATTTCCTCGTCTCTAAGAGCCTTATTGTTGTTTTTGTAATTGAATTACTGCTTTTCTTACGAGAAACTAAATGTGATTGCAATATAAATGATATGCATTTATATCCATGGTATTACAGTCACGGCAATCTGTAATGTGAAATATTTTTATGCCTTGCATTTTATGGCTTTATTTTCCACTCTCTGGTTCGCAGACATGTACAATTACCCATCAGTCCATTCTTTAGTTCTTCTGTTAGATGCTTCCAGCACTTTTACAACACATACTTAAGTGTTTAGAATTATCCGAAGCTGTAAACTGGACTAAAAACACCTCCAGGGAGCTGTCTCTCTGGGGTGTTTCTATCACATGTATCACCTTACCCGGGTAGTGGAAAATCAATGACAACCAAAAAAATGTCTGCTCTACCCTGTTCATTGCTCCTCCCCTCCTGTCAGGATTGCTGCTGTTGAACTTATTTGATGAAACTGTGGATATTTCTACTTTAACAGGGCAATCATTTTGGGTATGACTCTTGGATAACACCTGTAATCTTGGTTTTTAGCTTGATGTCTCTCATTTGGCTGACGCTGCTGATCTCAGGTAAGATGCTCTTTTTGTAATTGATTGAGATGTCCACATGAATTCATTTAGATGCTTCGTCTTTGTGGCATTTCACATCAGAATGAAGCAGCTGTCACATGTCCTGATTTTTTGTTTTGTTTTAATTGTTTGAGCCATTGCTTTGCTTATTGTATTTGGTCAGCAATACCAGACACATTCAGATGATAAATGCAGAGATAAAGAAAAGGTCACCTTGGCTGATGGTTATTATAAGCATCCTCTTAACAATGTGTTTAAATCCATACAAATTTATTTAAAAAATGTGGATTTCCTTACATTATTCTCATCGCTTTACATTAAAGTGGCAAAATGAAGGGAATGCGGAACAATGAATGGCTCATGCAGCTCTCTACCTTTTTGCAAGACTTAATAAGTGATCCGGGAAATTCAAAGGGGACTTCTTGATACCCCCAGCTTACCCCAAAACTTAATTACCCAATTCTTTTTGTGTTGTGTAAATTCAAGTAGGCAACAGATATTGAGTCTAGGCATGATATGATATCTTTTTTAGTAATCCACTGATGTAATAGTTTAAGCCTCAGATTTTCCTCTGCACCACTGGGTAGCAGCACACCGTTTTGTCCTTTGTGTCCTGTGAGTGTGAGTTGTTTGTCCAAGTGGTAATCTTTCTTTAATTTTCAGCCCATCTGGCTGAATGTGTGCCAGAGAAGCCAAAGAGGTCAGCTCTGAACCAGCTGACCAGGACCCTGCTGAGGAACTACGACTGCGGCGTTCGACCTGTTCACAATTGGACCACTCCTACTACTGTCTACATAGACCTGACACTACGGTCTGTCCTTGATGTGGTATGTTAGCTTTGAATGCTTTCTGCTGTGTTTGTATTGCTCCTAACGTTTATGATATTGCATTTTATTCAGTATCACTTTTCATGCATTTCTATGTTGTTTACAAAGCAACTCAAACAGTAACCTTGGAAGAGTTAATATATAAGAAAAATTTTAGAAATTGTGTTGAAACTCATTTTCTTTTCTTCAGGATGGAAAGACTCAGAGCATCACTACAAGTATTTGGTACAGACAGGTAAATAGCCTTTTTGTGCTTCCTTTTTGTTTTTTGCTACACAAGTTAAGAAAAAAAAATGCATTTTTCAGTGTAATAAAATATATATCTTTATGGATAAAAGAGCTTTTTAGTTTAGCTGAAAAATCCTTTGCACTTTTCAGGTCTGGACAGATGAGTTCCTGGTTTGGGATCCAGACGAGTTTGAGGGTATCAAAGAGATCTCGCTGTCATCTGAAGCTATCTGGATACCTGATGTTATCATTAGTGAATTGTAAGAAAGTGTCTGCACAAACTGAATTTCTTGTGTTCAGTGCATTGTCCTTCAATTTTGCCCAAGTCTCAAACATGATTGAGTTTCTTTGATTTTAGAAACGTACCACAGATTCCTACTGATCTGATTGTTTTGTATTGTATTAAAGCAATAATACATCAATTGATAACATGGTTTACATTTGCAGTACATTAAAATATTCACATATCTTTTAACATGGCAACGTTTTTTTTAATTTAGTTGTAAACTGTTAGGAAATTACATCTTTCCGGTAACTGCTGATGTCATGTTTCTGTATTTGAAATTGGATTTTGGCATCCCAGAGGCAATCATGAAATAATCAGAATCACAATACTTTATTAATGGCAGAGGAAATTATGTATGTCTCAATCTCAGTAAGTCTAATCAAAATTAGGTTAGAATTCATGTTAAACCTGAGCATTTATAGGTGCTGGTTTAGCATGTCCCCATTCATGGGACAAGGTCCACGAAACAGCCACTTTAGTTATGGATCAGCTCAACAAAAGGTGTCTTGATGATCTCATCTGTTCTCCCCTCTTTCTCCTCATATCCATTCCAGTGTGGACGAAGGGAAGTCCCCCCCGATCCCCTACGTTTACGTCAACTCTTCTGGCTCAGTAAAGAACAAACGGCCCATACAGGCAGTGCTAGCTTGCACTCTCGAGATGTATGCCTTTCCATTTGACAAGCAGAATTGCAGCCTCACCTTCCGAAGTTTGTTGCACTCAGGTCTGTAAAATCAGCCTACGTTTACAGCAGGAGAGTACAGTTTTCATACCTGTGGTGGAGACTTTCACCAGCTTTAAGTAGAGAAATTCAGCCAGAATGACTTCACTTGGTGTATCTGCCTAATCTCAAAAACAACAGCGTTTTTATTGTTTTTTATTGTGCAAGAGAAGACAGGATGTGACGAGATATATGAGTGTGTGTAGGTGTGTGTGTGTTGTGTGTTATAGGGGCTGCTGTGTGGAAGTATGGGGCTCTATTCAGTCCAAAAGCCTATGTTAGTGAGGGAGGGAGACAAAGAAATAAAATAATAATAAAAATAAAGAAATTAGAAAAAATAGGAGAACCTATGGTGATTCAACAGGTTGAGGCTGATTAGATCAACAGTGTTTTTATTTAGTATCACATAAATTGAACTTTTGTTTTTTATAATTTCAGAATCAGAAAACCTTAATTATGTGGTCACAGTTGCTCGAAGAAAGTAAGAACAGTAACTAAGTAAAATAAATTAAATGTTACAATATTTTACAAAGTTAAAAAATCTAACCAAAAGCTCTGATGAATTCATCCAGTTTACATCTGTTAACAGAATCATAGATATCTATTGCTGCATAAAGTTCAACAAAACACACTTAAATTGTCTTATTCTTCTAATTCAATTCAATTCAATTCCGTTCAATTCAATTTTATTTATATAGCGTCAAATCACAACAACAGTCTCCTCAAGGCATTTTATATTGTAGAGTAGACCCTACAATAATGCATACAGAGAAATAAACCCAACAATCATATGACTCCATATGAAGAAGCACTTTGGCGACAGTGGGAAGGAAAAACTCCCTTTTAACAGGAAGAAACCTCTGGCAGAACCAGGCTCAGCGAGGGGCGGGGCCATCTGCTGCGACCGGTTGGGGTGAGAGAAGGAAGACGGGATGAAAGACTATAGTGATCCACTAAAGCAGTAAACAGTCGAACTGTGGAAGCTGTACAGCTAATGTTTTGTAATTTCAGCTAGTGTTCTTTCATATGCCTTTGCAACCATCAGTTATCATTGCCTTGTAAACGACATAGCTTCAGCCCTGTGATAAAATCTGAACCATCTCTAGGACAACTGATGAAAGTCATCAACCGATAAAGACAGTGAGTGAAATGCTGAGCTTATTTTATTCCATATTTGCAGTGTTTATCATGCCATTCAGCTGTAGGGTTTTGCCACAGCTGACAGATGACATGTAGATATGACAGTGCACCTTGCTTAAAAATCTGTGGATAGTAGAAGGAAAACTGAATAATTTGAAACTGATTTGTCTGCCACTGTGAGACAAAGGTGACAACACAGTACAAGGAGATAGCAGATACACACTACGCTCATTGTTGTTTCTTCTGCCATCTTTTATTCTTCATTATCTCTCCCTCTGCAGTGCAAGAAATAAACTTGGCCCTGTTGAGGAATGAAAACACCACTGCTAATGATAGAAAGCAGTTCATGAATGATGGAGAATGGGAACTGCTGTCCATTCCTTCACGCTACCGGCTGAGTCAACAAAACGAAACTGAATATGCCTACATCCAGTTTAACGTACGTGACTTATCGTACTTAGCGTACATTCATCACATTTACTGTTATTGTGAGTAATTTAAATGAAACTGGTTATCTTATAAATCTAACAGCAATCAAATACTAATATTTCGGGTGTTTGATAGATTATTACTTCAGAGGCGTAAACGCTCTGTAATAAGTGAGAGAGTAACTGTGCTGTGATGGCTCTGATTGCTAGTCGATGGTGAGCTTTAAACTGTAGTTCTCTGCGGGTTACACCCTGAAGCGTTGCGGTGGAATTGTAAAGTGTAAAGCAATTGGCTGCGACCTTCATGGATTGAGCTAGAGAGCTAATGCCAAATGATGAGGCTGAGGCTGTTTCTGGCAAGTAAAGAGACAGATAGAGAGAGAGAAGCTGATAGACAGGGGAGGGTGAGCAACCATAATGAGACTGTCTCAGTGGCTGCCTGATCAATGGACTTCTTGTTAGCGGGGAGCAAAATGGCCCCATAGCCCATTGCAGGTGGAGAGCAGGGAGGGCTGCTAGTTATCCAGCTCAAAGAGCCAAGGTTTTTTTTGTAATGGAGCATTTCATGGCTCACTGGGATATTGTTACACTGTGACAGTGTTGTTGCGTGCAATAGATATTTTATATAAAAACGTCTGACTTCTGAGAAAATGTTGCTTTTCACAAGCTGGAGAAAGTAACAGAGCAACATTCAGCTGCTATTAATAACCCAAATTCTTGAACATGAACAAACAAATCTACACACATTCAGAATCGAAATCTATAGCCCGAGAAGACCTGATTCTCTATTCATCGAAATGAAAAGTCAAAGTGAAATCCAAACATATTCGTTCCAGTTTGGAAGTAAAAAAATGCACTAAAGCATTCATAGTGACGCCTATTCATGCCTTGGAACACCAGCTTATTTAACAGTGAGCCACTTGATGTCACTGCACACTGCTATATTGTTGTTACATAAATAATAATGGCTTGACTCTTTTTATCTCTCGTTGATGACTGGGGCCCATGTCATGAATTTGGCAATTGGGGTCAACTACTTTCACACTAATTTTCTCACTTTTAACTGATCTGAAGAAATGAAAACCTTGAATCCTATGCCCGAACATGGGAAAGGACTGTTAGACTTGCAAATTTATATTTAATTTGCGAGTGATGATAACTTGGGATGCCAGCAATTTTTGCAATCTGTACCAGAGTAGTGCTCATAAATCACTTTGTGAAGCAGGCTGTAGCTTGACAAATTGAGACGAGCTGAGTGATAGACGTGCTTGTAGACAGCTGATATTCTGCAGAGAACGATGGAAAATGACTTTGAGAGAGAGTGTCCTAGATGTGATGAATAAGACACTCCTGTGATTACATATCATATGTGCTGTGAATGCTAACAAAGTTTAACGAGTGCAGTGTAAACAGAAGTTACTTCGGGGACTCATTCTCTCAGAGAGAGTAATGAAAGGCTCCCTCACAGCAGCAGCTAGTGAAACATCAGTTAGCTGGTAATTATTATCAGGGATGGTTTCAACTTGTTATGACGGGAAACTTTCTAACAGAATTATGTTTAGTTTTTCATTAATCACCATCACGGCAGCTCAGACACATGAACACACTAGAGAGGGATTTAATGGTGGTTTTTCAGGGTTTGTGGTTATCAAAATCAGACATAATTGAATTTTAGATTATTACTTGTACTCAACACACAAGTTCACTCGTGTTATCACACAGGAGCCAACAGGCAGCGGTGGTTAGGACTGTTACCACACAGCAAGAAGTCCTTGGGTTAAAATCCACCATCTGGCTGGGGTCTTTCTGTGTGGAGTTTGCATGTTCTCACCATGTCTGTGTGGGTTCTTACCAGGTACCCTGGCTTCCTCCCACAGTCCAAAGACATGCAGTCAGTGGGGTTAGACAATTTCGGTGATTCTAAATGAATGGTTGCCAGTCTGCGTTAACCCTGCGACAAACTGGTGACCTGTCCAGTGCGTATCCTGCCTCTTGCCCTATGGCAGCTGGGATACGGTCCAACACAGAATAAATGAAAGAAAATGGATGGAGTGACAGTGGAAATATGTTCAAGATTCGTGAAGTTTATTGTCATATACACCACAAAATACAAGTAGTTACGCAGAGCAATGAAATTCTTACTTTGCAGGTTCCCTTCACACATTTAAATAACAACTAACTAAAATAAAGAGTAAACTTAACCCTGAACATAGAAAATAGCACTGAAAATAATAATAAAGTAAAACAAGTGCAGCTTATGTGTAGGTGTAGTCAGAATTTAAAGTGCAAGTAGTTGCAACACTGTCCCAGTGTAATATATGCAGAGTATGCAATGTTTATATTGTATGAAGTTGTGTTATAAATATATACATATATAAATGTACAAAATTGCAAATTTACAGGTGAGAGATCATTACAGTTCAACAATTAGTTAGTGATTCAGTAGCCTGATGGCCTGTGGATAGAAACTGTTTTTTTTCAGTCTGGTTGTCCTTTATGTTACAGCTGATAATGTGTTTTGTGGATTATACAGACTAATAAGGACATTTATTTTGTGAAACAAGACAGTGCTGCTGCTGTTTTGTGTCCTAAGTAAAATGTTCCTCAGTTCCATTCAGGTGGGTTTGGGGGCAGAAATGTCAGAGATAAGTGTTTCATGCACACAGCTGTTTGTCTGGAGAGATAAACAAATATTCCATGGTTATATTTAAAAGTGACTCCAAAATTAGGTGTGTGAACTGTCAAGACTTGTGGATATTATTTCTGTCTGTCTTCTGTCCTTCATACCTCAGCTCACTGGCCTCATCTTTTATTCAGGTGTTGATTCGCCGGCGCCCCCTGCTGTACGTGGTAGGACTCCTCATCCCGAGCATCTTCCTCATGTTGGTAGATGTGATGAGCTTCTACCTGCCTCTGAACAGCGGTACACGCATCACCTTTAAGATCAGCATACTGCTCGGCTACACCGTCTTCAGAGTCAACATGACAGATGAACTGCCTGTTACTGCTGTCAGAACTTCACTCATTGGTGGGATTTTAAAGACACACATATGTAAAGCAAACAACCTATATCCTGTTTTTTATTCTGTAACTGAAGCCAGAAAGGTTAATGTAAAATAAATTCCAATGTGCACTGTCTGCAAAACATTAATTTGTAGAATGACAATAGTATGTCTAGTAGTACTGGGGGAATACAAGAGGAAAAACAAGTGCAGCCTAATTGAAGAAGCAGAATCTGAAATACCTTAATTAAATTATGAAGCTCTGAGTGCTCCCCACATTTAATTTTACACACAGTAATTTATCTGGGGAGGCTGCAAACCTGCTCTGCCTTAAATAGAGTGCTCCATGAAAAACCTATAAAGAGTAAGGGTAATGTTAAACCACAGAAAAGATCACTCTTAGACTAAATACCCCAAGACTGGCAGTGTGTCACAATATGAAGGCAGTTTGAGGTAGAATCAGACTGTGAGCATGGAAATAGGTGTCTGGGCAATCAGTAAAGCTTTATTGTAAATATCGGTTATAGTTTGGATTTTATGTAACTAGACACTATTGTAAGTGTTTCTATATTCTCCACCAAGTTTCTGAACTATGCAATCTCCATTTAGGGGTATTCTTTGTGGTGTGCATGGCCCTGCTGATGCTCAGTCTGATCAAGTCTATACTGGTTGTGAAGCTGCTTCACTACAGTGAGAAGGAGGTCAAGGAAATGTCAGTGTCTGCCTGCCTGTTGGACAAGTACGGCTCAGCTGGTCATGTCTTTACTGAGAGTGCTTTAACTTCCATCAAAACCCTCGACCACATAAACCCGTCTGGAGGTAAACTTTAAGACTCGTTTTCCCAAATGTGCTATTGGCAGCGGATATAAGAGTACACTTTTTTTTCTTTTTTTTTTTTACTTTGCTTCAGCAAAATTGAAAACAACATCATGAGTCATGGGAGGAAAAACACTTAAACGGGAGCCAAGGCACATCTTATCTGTGGAAAAATTTAAGCCCTAAAAATAGAAATAGAAATACACACTGTGCCAAAGCGTATGGAAACTCTTTTTGAAAGTAGGACAAAAATGCATTAGCGGAATAGTTGAGGGTGGAATAGCAGCAGGGTGGCACAGTGGGCCAAGTCAATGGGGCTATTGTACAGGATATAAAGCTGGTAAAGGATATAAACTGTCTCCAACTCCATAAATATATATTCATTACTTACATTGTAATGTTTTTTTTTCTTAGACTATGAGCTTGAAAACTCACTGGATGAGGATCTGCTGTCCCTGAATGAGATCCAGGATACTCCCACTGGGCTGGAGTGGCTCCTCCAAGAGCTGGTTTCCCTCCGTCTAGCTTTTTCCCAGGAGGACAGCGAGTCTGCAGCTCAGAGCGAATGGCTGGCCCTCTGCTCTAAGCTCGACTGCTTCCTGTTTCGCCTTTATCTGCTGGTTCTGGGCTTGTATGCTGGAACGCTGCTGCTGCTCTGGGTCAACTGGAGCTTTGCTTGACTTAACTGCACATTTAAAAACAGTTCTTGCCTATGTCCACAGTACTTGCAGAGATAAATACTGCACTGTTGCTGTGTATAGAATAAACCTGATTTAAATAAAAATATAGGCTACTTCAAGAAGTGCTCATATATATTTAACCTAAGAAACCACTGGTTACAACACACTTTATTTGTATATCACTGTTGTTGACACAGCGCTTTAAAATGATGATTATATGTTGCAATGTGGCTGTTTTTTGACTGTTTTTAGTTTCAGTCACAGTTTTGGACCTTTGGGGTCTAAGAACAGGATGTGGTCAAAACAACAGTTTATTCAGATTATATAAATTATTAAAAAAAACTATGTTTATTACTGACAGATTGAGTAATGCCTTTTAAATAGCCAGTACAAATATTTGGCAAAACTGCAAAAAGTACACTTGAAGTCTTCTGGAGCAATAGCTACTCTTTAAATATGCTGCTCGCGTAACCGCCACCGCTCTAGCCATCGTAGCACTGTATCATCATTCTGACAAAGACATTATTGTATCGGCTCTGTTATTATGTTTCCCGGCAGTGAAGATTTACTCAGAGATACTGTACAATAAAGTAGCTCTCAGGAGAAAATTCTCACTTCCAGTGTGATGCTATGATATTGTATTCATACTTTAATCTCCATCCTACTGCCACAAAATGGATCAGTGAAAACCTTTCAGAGCTCAGCTGCTGTGTCTCTACTCCCTGGTGGTTTCCTAATAGTCCTAATAAGAATATCAAATGTGCACAGAAAACTTGCCAGTGTAACGATCAATATTAATGTAGTTTTGACGGTATCAGCAACCTCTTTTTTCCAGTATATCTGGTTACACGATGTTATGCAACACATCTGAAAATAAATCTTTCATCATTGCTTTGTTAGTGTCTCTATGAGGCTTCCAGTGGCTGTTTAAGATGTCTGCATTCGCTTTGTTTTGGATATAAATGTAATCTGTAGATGTTTGTGCCTGTTTTTTTTTTTAAATAAAAATCATAACCACAAAAAGAATGTGATTATTTTGCAAAGATAAAACATGACAGAAGAAGCAACAAAAGCTTTTGTGAGGCAAAGGAACGATGGATCCTACCTTTCTGAAATACACATGATTACAGACTTAGTATGCATCCATTTAGAGAGATAGCTACAAGCCCTCAAAGGCTTCGCTGCTCATATTCATTATTTCTGAAACCCGGAGAGCAGGCGAGTGAAAAAGTAGGCCACAAAACCTTTCTTTAGGAAATTTCACATGAATGAAACTAAAGAGTTGTTACAACCCTCCATGGCTTAGAGCTAAAGGTTCAATCCAAATCAAACCTAGGTTTTTTTTGTTTGAATTGCAATCTGAATTTGAAAACTACTTACATTATATGAGTCAAAAACCAAAGCTTTCAGTATTTTAGATATGGTCAGTGTGAAAGTGAACTACAATATCGTCCTCTTTCAAGGTGCAGTTAAGATCAGGGGCTAAACATGTGGCACAGAGGCCAGAATTTTAAGATTTTGGGATTAGACTTAAAACTTTCCTTTTTGCTAAAGCATATAGTTAAGGCTGGATCAGGTAACCCTGAAATCTCCCTTAGTTATGCTGCAATAGGTTTAGGCTGCTGGGGGATTCCCATGATGCATTGAGTATTTCTTCTTCAGTCAGCTTTCTCACTATGTGTTAACAGACCTCTCTGCATTGAATCACACTTGTTATTAATCTGTCTCTCTTCCACAGCATGTCTTTATCCTGTCTTCCTTCTCTCACCCCAACCGGTCGCAGCAGATGGCCCCGCCCCTCCCTGAGCCTGGTTCTGCTGGAGGTTTCTTCCTGTTAAAAGGGAGTTTTTCCTTCCCACTGTTGCCAAAGTGCTTGGTCACATGATTGTTGGGTTTTTTTTCTCTGTATGTATTATTGTAGGGTCTACCTTACAATATAAAGCGCCTTGAGGAGACTGTTGTTGTGATTTGGCGCTGTATAAATAAAATTGAATTGAACTGAATAAAACTGGCCTGCCAAAGAGCCCAGTTCACCTTGCTACTTTGCAAAGGTAACAGTTGCAAATGATTCATTAATCATTTAAATTTTTTAATAAGGCATACCACTATTCCTTGTATAGCCATGAAAATGTATTGAAAGTAAATAGTATTTCTAGATCCTGATAAATTGCAACATACCACTGTTGTTTAAATCCAAAAGCACCAAACATGTGAAGCTTACGTGCATTTGTGGACTTCACTGTTGTCTGGAAATTGTACAGCAAGTGTGATGACAGTAGACTCAGTAGTAATAGGGATGATGGAGCATTTTGAAGGCAGATCCAGCAAAGATTATTTCAGCGTTGTAGAGATAACTGGGCTGTATGCGGCACATAATCAGTTTACTCATAGTAAGTACTGTAGATAGAGCAATCCTGGCCACGAACATTTGCAGTATAGTATGCTCTGAGGTGTGAACAAAATATTATGCCCTTTCCTCAAAAGTTAATGGGCATATTTACCAAACAAAATGTACCCTGATGTAAAACTGAGGACAGCTGAAAACTGGCTAATAAAAATTCACACCGCCACGCTCCTTTTAAATTGTTTTTAAGGCATTAATTGCTGACACTTTGTGACTAAAATGAGATGACATTCTTGCCTAATGGTTTCTTAATTGGTAAACATTGTAACATACTGGCCTGGGATCGTATTATTGAATTAAATAACTTCTCAGACATGACATATGATCCAGTCGCAGAACTCTGGCTCCATTTATCTGAGCGAGCTGCTGCTTTATTGAACAAGGAGTGGTGTCAGAGCAGACGGATACACCCTCATGAGTGGAGTGACACTAACAAGGTTTTGATAGTGGATGTGAGCGAAGCGATGCATATAGTGGATGGATGTGGAGGATATAGGTGCCAGGCATCCTGAGGCCTTTCATCAGAGCGACAGGCAGACTTCAGCAGCAACAAGGGAAAACACAGGTGAACTAGCAGCATGAGATTCTCATCAGCCTGGACAGCACTCTGCTTCCTTCTGATTAATGAAGCCTCAAAAGAATGCACAGGTACACCAGAGTATTTAATTTTATTGTTAACCTAAGCCAGTTTTGGGCCTTGGGTTCACCAAATATCAGGGAAAATATTAATGATAGTTTAAAATGGTATTAGCTTTCCTGTGTAATATTTTTGCTAGTCTTCATTTGATTTTCTAGTCCAATCTTAGCTGTTTTATTTAAGTCACATCTGTCTGGTAACAAATTAAGTGTTTTTGCAAAAAGTTGAATCTTAATAACTGGATATATCCTAAAGATTTATATATCTATCATTTAAATTAAATAAAATTAAAGTGTCTCAAACAAAGAAAGAAATATCGCAGAAACAGCTGACATTAATTGTACGTATAAAAGATAAAGGATATATGTAGAGAAATAAAAAAAGCAATGAACACTTAAAGTACTGTTATATTTGAAATACGTTATGGAACTTCAAAACATTTATGCTTTGAATTCTTGGAAATGTAGCTTTTTGATTAAATATACGCGAAATGTAGCTGTTATCTGTCATCTGAAACAAGAAATGCATATTCCTTATGAAATACATTTAGTTAAAAAATATTCAGTGCATTTAATATTCATAATGATTTCCTTCTAATTATTTTTGATGAATTCCATTTTTATTTTTATTGAAGTTTTATTGAACACATTTGTTTGTCATTTGTGATTTTAACTATTTCTTTAACGGCATATATTTATATGTGCATATATTATTATATATATATATGTATATATATTATATTAGTGTGTCTATTAGATTTTTTATGGGTTTTTCAAATTTTCACTGTATCTTTTTTCAGCAAAGAAACTGGGCAGCAGCACTGGAAGATTTGCCAATGCCACCTTAGTGCGACTGGCAGAATTTTTGAGTGTCGGTTATAAGAAAGGAGTGAGACCAGTGAAAGACTGGAACACCCCTACTAATGTGGAAATTGACCTCATGGTATACTCTATCCTTAATGTGGTGAGTTATACTGTCTACAAAGCAATTACTATTTTCTGTGTGTTACATATATATTTTAAAGAAATCATCATTAAGTACACAATGTGTCATAATTATGCATACATGAGCATGCACAAATACACAGTCATTTTGTAAAACTGAATCTAAATTATTGCTTTCACATGTTAGGATTTAAAAAAACCCATAGAAGCACCAATGTAACGTGGACCATGTTTTTCCCCTGATTTCTCTGTTTTGTTTTGTGTTAAAGGATGAGAAGAATCAGGTGTTAACAACATACGTCTGGTACAGACAGGTAAGAAAAATAAAAAATCTTGATGTATATTGTTTGCTTACTTTATCTGTAATTGTGGTATTATTAATTTATCACATATTTGATCTATTTGACATGGCAAACATGTGGTTACTCAACAATAAGTTTTAGTATTCACATTCATGCCATTTAAAACAAAAAACTTTCAGTTATGATTGATTTTTTTCCCCTCTTTGAAACCATTACATTTTCTCATGGGGCTGTGTAAGTGCCATAAACACAGACAAACAAACCAGATGTTTGCTTGTCTTTGTTTGGACAAATGACTAAATCAATAAATACGCCATTAAAAGACACAAAGTATTATCTATAAAATTTAGACATTAGTCAACTTATAAAGTGCTGCATGAAATATGTTTGCTTTAACTTACATCTGTGTTTGCTTTTCTTTGTATTCCTTTGTGTTCACTTAATAATGACACCACACTCAGTCCATATTTTCTGACATAGTGCAATTAAAAAAATCTTTACATTCTGTTTGGTTCTTTCTGCACTCCTGAATATTTCAGTCATGGAAAGATGAGTTCCTGGTGTGGGATTCACAGGACTTTGATGGAGTCAAAAAAATTTCCATACCCACGGCTAATGTTTGGGTTCCTGACATCCTCATCAATGAATTGTAAGATTATGCTATTACTAGTTCTAACAGACAGACCCTCTCACATTTCTGTTACAATGATTAAAACTGTTATTTCTGTCTGTGACCTGCAGCGTAGACGTGGGGAAGTCTCCAGACATTCCTTACGTTTATGTCACAGATGATGGAGTTGTGCGCAACTACAAGCCCATCCAGGTTGTCACAGCTTGCACTCTCAATATCTACAACTTCCCATTTGATGTACAGAATTGCAGCCTGACCTTCCAAAGCTGGCTCCACACCAGTAAGATATTTCACCGAGTTATTAATTAATTTATCATTAAATAACAGTCATTCTCGCAATTTTGTTTTTCTAAAAACATTTTTATTATATGACATTTAAATGAACATTTTATTATTTTTATTCCTAAAAGTATTCTCATGTATAAGAATGCTAACAAGCCTCTAACAAGCCAAACGTACATTTTAGATTAGAAGTATTTGTGAATGCTTTAAAAAAAATGCAATGAATAGTTCATATTTATCAATTACCTGCATGCAAATTGAACTAAACAGAAAAAAAAAGCTAAATCCAATCAATGTCTTTGAAGCAGCACCACTTCTTGTAAGTCTTGGCTAGAACAACTGCTCTGTTTGATGAATCCATCAACTCTCTCCCGCTGTGAGAGAGCACAGAGGTAGGTGAAGGCTGACGTGTTGCCATGGCTGTTTCACGCTGCTCCCAATATTGTGTTCGATTTGTAGTTGATGACATCAACATCACCCTGATGCGAGAGCCCGAGGAACTCAGTAAAGACAAGAGTGTCTTCATGAACCAAGGAGAGTGGGAGTTACTTCATGTACTATCCAAATATAAGAACTTCAGTGTGGACAAAGAAGAGTATTACGCTGAAATGAAATTTCATGTGAGTGTAAAGATTTACTAAGTTGTATAGAGCATACAAAAACTCAGAACCAATCTAATAGGTCAAGATAGAGAAACAGTGAAAACAATAGAGTGACCAAAAATAAAAAATAGACATAAGAATTTCAGCTTCAATTTAAGGGGTTTATCAGAAGTACTGAATTAACTCTTCAGAAATTCAAGCATTTTTATACAAAGTCCCTCATTTTTGGAAGTTCAAAAGTAACCGGACAACCCCGATGTTAAACAAAATAATTTTTTTATGATTAAATTCTTTGCACTCACTGACTGCCTGAAGTCCATGGCCATCATCTTTTTCCTCCGGCGATTAAGGACTATCCCATTTTTCTGCTTTGAAAAACTTGTGAGGTGCTTTTGCAGGTTGTTTTGCATCACTAACCATTTGCTCTGTGAAACGCTGTCTGGCTGGCAGGATTTGGTGGAATCTAGGAAAGTATAATCCTTTGCACTTCAGAATTCATCCTGATACTTTTATCAGCAGTTGAGTCATTACTAAACACCAGTGACCGGTCTCTATTGAAAGCCATGTTTGACAGATGATGTGGGCCATTCCTTTCCCTCTCCATACGTTTCTTTTCCAGTCAGTCTGTTACAAGTGAATCCTGGTTCCATGATTTGGATTTTTTCCCAGAGCTGTGCAGGCTCCTTTAGATCTTTAGAAAAGTCTAATCTGGCCTTCTTGTTTTTGAGTGGAACAAGTGGTTTGCACGTTGTCGTAAACTGCATTTACGATGATGAAACCATCTCTCAATTGGAGACTTTGATCATGATACACATACCTTCTTGAGAGTGCTCTTGGCTTAGCAAGGTGTTGTGAAGTTGTTTTTCTTAACCATGGAAATAATTCTGTGATCATCTACTTTAGTTATCTTTTGTGGTCTTTCAGACCTTTGGTGTTGATGAACTACAGTGAATTCATTCTTTTTAAGCACACATCAAACTGTCGCAAAAGCCACTAAAAAGGCTTTTGCTATCTCTCTGACAGGTTTATTTTAATTTTTCAACCAGATGATGGTCTTGTTGACTTGCACAGACATCTCTTGGATGTCTCTTGAACAGGCACCAAATGCAAGTTCAGTACTTGGAATTGAAAAAGACAGGCATCACCTGATCGTGAAATGTTGTCAAGCCAATTCTCTTTGAACCTGTGAAAATAGGGGACTATGGATAAAAATTGGTATAATTCCTAAACAACTAATGCAACACTTTTGCTAAACCTCTTGAATTTAAAAAGTCTTCACTTTAATAAAATTATCAGTGTTTTATTTCAAATCCACTGCAGTGGTCCCGAGAGGTAAAATTACAATTGTTCAAATACTTCCAAATAACTTTGGACCTGACTGTGTATTCATCATCATGCTTTATAGTCAGGGCTGCACATAAGTGGTCCGCAGGTGCGCATTCGCTGTCAAAATAAAAGACGCGCACCAGATAAGAAGTTGCAACACGCGTTTGAGATAAGATTTTCTGGAGGAGGACAGACATTTGTTCATTTGTTTAGAACTCTTAAAGATGTCAATGATGCAAGCTCCTTTAAGCAATTAGTTTGGTGTTCCTCCACCTCCAAAGAAATGTCAGAAGGAGTCTGAACCGCAAAAGAAGCACGTATTCTCGGAAAAGTGGTTGCAGGAGGTGAGCTGGCTTCAAACAAATGATAAATGCACAGAGATGTGGTGCGGAATGTGCCGTGAAAATCCCACTCTAGCGGACAAAAACAGTGCCTTTTATATGTACGCAAACGCGCGTTGCAACTTCTTATCTGGTGCGCGTCTTTTATTTTGACAGCGAATGCGCACATGCGCACCACTTATGTGCACCGCTGTTTATAGGTTATAGTTAATGTTCTTACTATGATTTACAGAGAAAGCTGAAAGGTCTTTTTTTAAAAATCATTTTACCTTGTGTGTATTTTTCTCATTGCCTGTGGTACAATTATTCAAAATCTATTGCCAGGTGATAACACTGTTGATAAACTGCTTATACCAACAAGAAACAAGAAACATGTTCCCATCTGTTCCCCAGATTCCCAGTTTTTATGAAAAGAGATGCTAAACATGTCCTCCCTCATTTGATAGCACACATTTTAACTTGACTCTAAACTAAATCTCCCAGGTGGTGATCCGACGGCGACCATTATTCTACACCGTGAACCTGCTGCTGCCCAGCATCTTCTTAATGGTGATGGACATTGTGGGTTTCTATCTGCCACCAGACAGTGGAGAGAGAGTTTCATTCAAGATCACTTTGCTGCTGGGCTACTCTGTCTTCCTCATCATTGTGTCTGACACTCTGCCTGCCACTGCCATAGGAACCCCGCTAATTGGTGACTAGAATCAATTACGCTCACCGGCAGTTTGTATTCAAATGAGCATTTTCTGTGACTATGTAGAGATGAGTTTAAAATATTTTGCCTGAAGGCAGTCTTACTTTTCTTTAAATGTATGGGTAAACAAAACAGAGAAAAATATGTCAGGGGAGATCAACACCATGAACAGCTATTGGTTTGTAGTAAAGCATGCAGTGACAGATGGCTGAGGGCAAAACATCACCTGAGCTGAAAACTATCCCAGGATGGATTGGGTGTCAGGCCACATCCTTTCACCATTTACCATACTACCCTTTATCATTTATATACCATACTATATATACCATTCATTTATTTTTTTAATCTTATCTGTCCTACAGGTGTGTACTTTGTGGTTTGCATGGCCCTCCTAGTAATCAGCCTAACAGAAACTGTACTGATTGTACGTTTGGTCCACAAACAAGACCTGCAGCCCCCTGTGCCCCAGTGGCTGAAGTATCTGGTGTTGGAAAGAGCTCCAGTCCTTTTCTGCATCCACAAAAAGCACCGGCTATGTTCCAGACTTTCCTCTCAGTCCACTGACATGGAGAACTACAAGGAAAACAACTATGGAAGTGGTAGGTATTGAAGAAAACAAGTAAAGTGGCTAATATAATTCATAATCGCACTTAAATAATGCAGAAAATAAGGAAAAATCCCTAAATGCTTTTAAGCTTTAGCACTGTAAATAATCCTACAACTCCAATCAAACCCTACAGCCCCGTGCTCACTCCACCACACCTGCGAAATCGGCCGAAAGCTCAGCCAGCATGAGAGAGAAGGTGGACTGCTCGGACTGCACCTGACTCCAGCTAAGGACAACGTCCCACCTCTCATGGACAACATCCTGCAAGAGGTGACAACGATACGTCACTTCCTAGAGAAGAGGGACAAGTGCCGTGAAATTGCCAAGGAGTGGCTCCAGGTTGGCTATGTGCTTGACGTGCTGCTCTTCAGAGTCTACTTGGTGGCCGTGGTGGCCTACAGCATCACCCTGGGCACACTGTGGTCTGTTTGGCAGGCCGCCTAAGTTATAGCACTGTACTGCTGTGGGCACAAGCTCGAAAGCAGGAAATCAAGAATGCCAGAGTTAGTCGGTCTGTGCCACATGTAGCTCATAGGATACATTAAGGCACTCACATAGCAACTGGATATGAAACAATACAAATAGTCCCACACACATGAAAATGCAACTATTATCCATCATTATGAGGGATTACAAAGAATGAGAAGCAAGAACAGAAGCGTGTGACTCAGATCTGCAAGACAAACATGAAAATACAGCATAAAATGCAGGTAAATATCGTATAAAACCCAGACGAATATAGCAAAAGTGCTGTGACAAACCAGGAGATACACATAAAAAAAGTAAAATTGGTCAAAGTGGTGACATTAAGGTTGTTATCGCAGATGTTGCTGTGTCAAATTTGAACTCAAGTAGTCTACAGACGTTGTTGGGTTAAGTGGTGAGTGCTAGGTTCTGGGAGCAGAAGATATATGTGAGAAATTAAAGTGCTTAACATGCATAGAAAAAAAGTGCTATGTAAATGCAAGTCCAAATATCCAGCATGTGTGTTATCTGTACATTCATTTATATTAGTGAGGCAAGAATTGCATTTTATTAACTGCTTTGCATACGAGTGATGTTGTTTGTTTATTTAGTGTCTTTTTTGGACAGAAGACTGTTAATTATTTTCATGCTTCAAAGCATGAGAAATATGTGAAATCTATTGAATTCTTTTTATTACACACTTTCTGGTGTTTTTGTGCCATCAAGAGATGATATATAATTATATACAGTGAAAAAATACAATGTCTGTATAATTATACACTGAAAAAATGTAGAATGTTAAAAAAAAAATGTAAAATGCATAATGTTCATTTACAACCAGTTAAAAATACCACTGGTTAGTCATCAAATAAAAGAAGTAAAAAAAAATAAAAAAAATAGCAGTCTTTGCTTTTTATAGAAGTCCATGTGTGCCACAGTATTTTTATTAAAAATACATAGTCATATAAAACATAAAATCAAACAAAGCAAATGATAAAAACTACATTTATAAGAGCTTCCATTTATGTAATGGTGTGTAAAATGACGTTTTTCAAAGATATGTCTTTGCACCTGGACACTATGAAATGAAAAATGACTTCCATAGTTTAGGTTTCGGAAGCTGCATTGTTCCACTCTACTAAAAATATAATGCTGAAGTTCAGAGTTTTAAAAAATCGTAACAGAGAAAAACACCTTTTCATAGAATTTATCACAAAAAGAATCATAACCAAGCCACTGAAGCTGTAACGTGCCTTGCAAATGAACCCACAGATATTAGACAAACACACTCACACACAGTACAGTACGTGTCACATGTGATATGCAGTTTATAACAAAATAGACTTTTTAGCTTTTTTTTCTGCCTGCAGTCCACCACAGCTGCCAGAGGATGGCACCATGTACAATAACATCAGTTTCCCTCAATAGCAGTGAGTCACTGAAGGTCTGATGTGCATATTATCAGTGGCCCGCATAAATGCTTCTTATCAGTTTTAGTGCACCCAGAGAATTTTTAGAGTAATAGCAGAGGGGGAATACATTTGCGATATTCACTGCCATCTTTTTCTCTAGTATGATTAAATGATTGTGGAAGTTAGACTAAATGCATTTTGTGGATTTTTCCCCCACTTTCATGTTCCACAATTTGGACAATGTCACGTTAAAGGTTAATTAAATCAGTTTACACGACCTATCAGTCTGTTCAACTTGTAGCTCTTTGTGCAAAAACACAATGCAAATGAGATGAATGACACTATATAAGGTCTCCTCCCTAGCCCCATCACAATTGCATGCTAAAAGATGAATAATCATTTTAAAGTATAGCTCTTCCTTAGTTTTGTTTTTCTCTCAGGAAAATGGGAAATAGGTACAGCAACATACAAACATACATGGAAATAAAGTACACAAAAAGAGTTTGTACAATTCCAATAACCTTGAATGTTAATATTGGTAATGACTACTTTTATTCTTCAGTGCATGCCTGAACTTTCTGAGAAAAGCTTTCTCGCAATTTCCTTAAGTAGTCCTCAGGAATAGTTAACCGGGCTTCTTGAAGGACATTTAAAGCTCTGCTTCGGGTGTTGGCTGTCTTTTGTTCTGCTCGCTGTCAAGATGATCCCACACTGCTTCAGTAATGTTGACATCTAGTTACTGGGGAGGCCAATCTATGACTGGCAGTGTTCTGTTGTGTGTTTTTCTCTCCGGGTATGCTTTTTCTGCACTGGCAGTTTTAGGAACCTTTTTTTTTTTAGGTCAGTGTTAAGTGGCTTAAAAAACAAACAAAGCATTGCTCTGGTCAGGTACAAGGACTGGACTGAAAGTGACTGAAAAAGCAATCAGAAAGCCTGAAGAACTATTGCTCATGACCACTTAAAAATGAAAAGGAAGTGTGTCTCTTTGGAAGCAAAATTTAAAGGAATAAGGGAACTCTTAAGTCTTAAGACTCGCTTAAGCTTCTATTTTACCTCTGAGCAATAAGCTGTGCAACTTAAGGTATGTGCTATGTAAAATGCACTGTGATGATAACATCATATCTGAAAAGCTCTAACATTTATCAACTTAGCTTCCTCTTAAATCATTGACCGATGACTGGGGTTATGTCTGAACTGTTTACGTCTTTGCTGACAAGATTTCAGATTCAGATTTCAATGGCGTAGTTCATGTGGTTGATTTAAAAACAGTCTGGTTGAGTAAGCGATTAATAGTTGGAATTAAACCATCACTAATCCTCCCTTCACAACCAAACAGGGAACCTTGGAGTCATCACTCTAATAATCCACTCTTTACATATGTGGGTCAAAGATCAGCACTCAAACCTGATTCTGTAAAACAAAGCCCCTACACTGTTCCTTCTACCATCCTGACAAACCATTCACTTACCACTGCCCTTTCCTTCCCCATGCCCCAAAATAACATGAAAGTCACATCAAAGTCCAACAAATCTGCTCACAGTTAATTTTTGGCCTCATTTCCTGTTTTTGTTTTCTCCCAAAAAAACAAGAAAAGAAGAAAAAATCAAACGGGAAAAACTACACTAATCTGCAATGTGTTTTGGATGTAATACTTTGGAGTGTTCTGCATAAATGAACAGGGAAACTGGAGAGCTGCCTCATTAGTTTCCAATACGCTGAAGTCAAGATCTGATCTCGTGTGCCAGAGAGAGGAAATGAGCAAATATAGGAGGATTATTGGGAAATATTGGAGACACTTTTGATGTGACACTGTATTTATTTGTTGGACACACACAGCCGGGCTTGCCTTCTCTAGTTTTATTGGGCATAAAATTCTGGGAACCACACAGAACTGACAATGGATGTTTATTACCCCAGATATGAGCGGCGATGACATTAACTGCAAACACACAACACTGCAAGCATTTACAAAATATACTCCATATATATTATGCGCTGCGCAGTAATGCACACTCAGGCAGGATGATTATACTGATGTCAGAACACCTCATTGTTAGTACATTTAATTGCTGACTGTAGCAATGAAAGGACAGTTAGAGGGATGTCTTTTGTTTTTTCCTATCCTGCCTGTGTGATGTGAATGCAACATTTAAGCCTCACCAGCACTGAGGATGAAATTTCAAAGCTTGCTCTAAGTATCATGGTACAGAAAAGACCCTCAAATCAGTGAAGTCAAAGGAGTTTCTTCTCAGGAAACATACATTTTCTCAGCAAATGTTGTGCAATCCACCTATTCAGTGCTGTGTTTTGTTTGGAAAGGGTAGCATGTGGAGATTTTAGCCTGATGATGGCACTGGGAAAAAAAAAATCAGGCCTTGTTAAAGCATTCATACAAAAAAACATGTCCAATGCACCAGAGGAGACAAATAAATCCTGCTCCCTCACCAAATTATGAACATGATTATGTTCATAATACTATTTAACGTAAGCATAAGTAAGTAAAATGATGAATAATAATTACCATATTTCTTTTTTTAACTTTTCTCAATTGTTTTGATACAATTCAACAATCAAAGCTTGTTTCACATGAGTTAGAATATGCAGTCGAGCACTTCACTTAAACACTGTGACCGCTGAGTAAGAGCCTTTACTCACTGCTGTTTTAAGACTTTGACATCAAAATGTTTTTCTACTTTTTATCAAAAAATACCAACTATTTTTTTACTGGCCCTAAAAAAAATAGTGTTCACACCCAAAAATGAAATGTGAAGAATTAAACATTTTACACAATAGAATCACCTATTGGGATCCAAACCAGTACTAGACAGATCTACCTAAAGGTGTACCTAATAAATTGTCCAGTGATACTGCTATTGTTACACTACTAAAGATATTTGTTACTGTCTTGATGAACTTCAGAATCAGAATACTTTAATAATCCCTAAGGAAATTATGTCATTTGAATATGAAAACACCCTTTTTCTACTAATACTGTCCAGCATTGCATTAATGTTTCCAGTCCAGTGACTTCAAGCTTGTATGAAAGAGCAAATACAGTAACGCCCATTCAGAGGTTTACTTGCAACAAATAGAAATGCATACTTTCAGGTTAGTGTCAGCTGCTCATCCAAGTTTCCCTTTTAAGCAGCCCCAAGGATGCTCTACTGGATACTGTTGACTGAAGGCCATTGGAGTACAGTTTTTTCAGTCTTCTGTATTTTGGTGAGACTGTGTGACTCACCAATGTAGCCTTAGGTATTTCTGTTATTAGCTGATGGGTGTAGCCCCCAGTGTGGTCTTCTGTACCCATCTGAAGTACAGATCTCCTTCAAGGCCAGACATGTTGTACTTTCAGGGATGCTCTTCTGCCTAACCTGTTTCTAATGAGTGGTTATTTAAGTTAATCATGTCTACATGCCTAAATACTTTGAGTTGCTGCTGATGTTAAAGGCTGATTAGATATTTGGATTACTGTAACAAGCATTGGAACAAGCATATCTAATAAAGTGGTTGCTAAATGTATGTAGTGTGACTTTACTGGCCCACACAGTAGTTGGTGTTCAGGTC